TTTGATATCAACTTATTCATTGGAGACCTTAACATTAACATATTAGATCATAACAATCAAAATATTCAAGATTATTTAAATATAATGGCTGAACATGGTTACCTGTCAGCCATTAACGAAATGACAAGAGTAGAAGGAAACAGTGGGAGTTGTATAGATCATATGTTTGTAAATTCACGTTTAGAACTTGACAAAATATATTCAGCAATTCTAAAATACAATATTTCTGATCATTTTCCTACTTTTCTCAAAATCGATCTTGAAAGTACATCAACCAAAATTGAAAAGACAGTGAATAATACAAAAATTTACATTGATTATGAAAAACTAAATAACAACTTACTCAATGAAAATTGGATTGTAGTATATAACGAACCTAATATTGAAAATGCATTTGTCCTTTTTATATCTAGCATTGAAGGCCATATTGCTGAATGCACCAAAACAGTAAAGTTTCCACGAACACAAATAAAAAGACAAGCATGGATATCAAAAGGGATTATTACCTCTATCAACCGAAAAATAGAATTATATAAGGAAACCAAAAAATACCCTTATGATGTTAAACTTTTGAATGAATTTAAATTATATCGAAACAGACTGACAAAAATAATTAAAGAGGCTAAAATTAAATATCTCCAAGACGAGTTTGATAATCTACAAAATTGTTCGTCCAAAATGTTGCAATTTATCAATAAAATACAAGGCAAAAAACAAAACAACAAAATTAGTACAATTAAAAAAGAAAATGGTGAACTAGTGAGTAATGATGTAGATATAGCAAATGAATTTTGTGAATATTTTTCAAAAATCGGGAAAAGGTTGTCAGAAAGCATAAAAAACGCGGAAAAATTAAATTATAGTAAGACCAGATTATATAACTCATTATATCTGGAACCGACCGATACGCATGAATTAAAGACAATAATCAATGAGTTGAAATTAAGAAAATCTCCAGGTCTAGATAATATAACAGCGTATACTCTCAAAAGAATAATTTGCAACATCTGCGGCATACTATCCTATTTGATAAATTCTTGTATGAATAAAGGAATATTCCCTTCATGTTTAAAACACGCTATGGTAAAGCCATTATTTAAATCTGGAGAAAGAGAAAAACCCATCAACTATCGACCAATTTCCATCTTAACAAATTTTTCTAAAATATTTGAAAAAGTGTTAAAAAAACGATTCACCGAATTTGCAAAAAAATATGACTTAATAGCGGAAGAGCAATATGGTTTTCAAGAAGGCAAATCTGCTCAAGATGCTATTGTAAAATTAACAAATAAAATATACACGAATCTCGATATTGGCAAACCAACTGCTTGTGTTTTTGTTGACTTGGCAAAGGCATTCGACTCTATTATTCATGAATCGCTTTTAAAAACTTTAGAAAACTTAGGTTTCCGGGGAATAACATACAAACTTATAGAAAATTATTTGTCAAATCGAACACAGTGCGTCAAAATTAATAACACATTCAGTGAACCCCATATTATATCACACGGTGTACCTCAAGGCTCAGTATTAGGACCCATTTTATTTAATCTATTTATCAACGATTTGTTCAAAATAAATAGTACAGGTAAAGTTATCGGTTTTGCGGATGATACAGCTATTCTCTATGAAAGCAACCAGTGGCATACACTAAAAACCACAATCGAACATGATTTCAAAACATTTATAAATTTCTTTTCGGAAAGAACTTTGACAATTAATTACAACAAAACACACTATATAGCATTTTCTTGTAACGACAGGCTCTCACCGCAATTTAAAAAACTTGAAATTCATACAAGCAGTGGTCTCAAAGAGATTCAGTCAGCCGATAAAATAAAATACTTAGGCGTGATTTTGGACAAACACTTAAAATGGGATACCCATACAGAGTACCTTGTGAAGAGACTGAGATGTATTATTCCAAAATTCAGGCACTTCAGAGATATTCTAGATAAGAAATATCTATATAATCTATATTATGCTCTTGTTTATCCTCTATTACTTTACGGAATTTTGGCTTGGGGGGGAGTTATGAAGAATAATTACAAAAAGGTTGAGGTCATCCAAAAATTAATTCTAAAATTGATCCTCCATAGGGAGATTACTTATTCAAGTGATTTTCTATATGTGGAGGCTCAGCTATTAGATTGCAGACAAATTTATTTTTATTGTGGTCTAATACATTATTTCAAATATTCAAAATACTTTAATCGTACCATTCATAACTACCCAACAAGATTCAATCAAAATTCAATGTGTATTCCACAGACATCAAAAACCATTACACAACGATCTCTGTTTTTGTTGGGACCAAAATTCTATAACTTCATACCAGAGTCATTAAAAGTAATTAAATCAAATAAATCATTTAAAAAACAACTAAAAAAATGGATTTTACAACAACCAAGGTACTCCATCCACGAAATTGTAGATCTGAAAAATCATTATCAAAATCAATAATATTTTACTTACACTAACATCCATACTTTTACTTCAGTTCTAATTGTCTGGATATTTTTCCTGACATTACCATAATAATTCACCAAATTATACAGTATTAACGGGTTTTTTCTTTTTTTTTTCATACACTGACTGTACTATTAGTTTTTATTTTGTACAAACCCAAACACAAGTGCAAACTTTTTTTGGGTGCTTTATGTTTATTGTGCACAATATTTGATATTTACTTGTATTTTGTGACAATAAACATTATTATTATTATTATTATTATTATTATTATCTCCTTCTGAAGAGTCATGTCTTCATTATGAACAGTTGGCATCGTTCATCAAAGAACATGTTCAAGATCAACCAATATTTGTCAAGGGACGCCCGAAGAAACAGTGGTAGGAAAGATTCATCACTAATCCCATCACCGATCTACATGAAATAGGATGCCCAAATCTTGGCAAGCAGAAGCAAATGTTCCAGTACAAACATTGTTATAAACATGTGTATAATAATATGCGTTGTGCTTTAGAAAATGTTCATTTGTTATGTAATTGGAATGTTATATCTAATGCTGTAACATTGCAAACATTGTAATGCATAAAAAATATCACACTACCGCTGTCGTTTCATTTCTTCCCTCGCACATATGACTATACTAAGTGACATATAAATCCGAACACCCAGTTTAAATGGTTTTATTTTAATAAAAGTTGGTGAATGTATTTATCTTACTGTAAATAACAAGTGAACAAATTTTCAGCGTTATCAGTTGGACATTCCGGTTTTTATACTGTTTTTTTTAATTCACTAACGTTCGAAAAATGAATATTTCAGCCGCAGTAAAGAATCAACGTTGGCGGATTTTGGTTCTTGACATCCTTTACGATCGGTTACGATGCCTAGAGTACGGAGACCTGTACGATTTCGTCAACTTAGTGAGTTTGATAGGGGCCGTATAGTAGGACTTCGGGAAGCTGGACTTTCTTTTCGGGCAATTGCAGTTAGAGTACAAAGAAGTGTAGACACTGTGGTTAGGTGTTGTCAGGCATGGCTTCGAGAAGGCCGTACGCAAGGGGCATTGGACGCCGCCGTAGAACAACAGACCGTGAAGATCGCCGCCTAAGATTATTGGCCTTAAGGGACCGTTTCTCCACTACCAGGTCCATTGCAAATGAATGGTTTGCAGAACACGGAAGACCTATTGGCATGCGAAGTGTTTACCGATGAATGATAAGTTTTGGCTTGTTTTCATACCGGCCACACTGGGTCCTCCCTTTAACTCGAGAACACCGACGTAATCGCCTTGAGTGGTGCAGGCAACAGTCACTCTGGGATCAGGAATGGAACAGTATTGTCTTTAGTGACGAGTCTCGATTTTGTTTAGACATGCACGATGGTCGTGCCAGGGTTAGAAGGCGACGTGGTGAAAGGAGGAATCCACAGTTTTTTGTTGAAAGACATGTTCATCACACTGTTGGAGTTATGGTTTGGGGTGCTATAGCTTATGGTTCCAGGTCACCTTTAATCTTCATCAGAGGTAACATGAACGCGCAGCGTTATATCCACGAAGTTCTAGAACCCCATCTTTTACCCTATCTTGACACCCTGGCAGATCCAACTTTCCAACAAGATAATGCCCGACCACATGTTGCAAGAGTCACAATAGACTTCTTTCAACATAATGATGTCACATTGTTACCATGGCCACCAAGATCTCCCGACTTATCCCCAATTGAGTACGTGTGGGATATGATGGGTAGGAGATTGCTCAATTTGCAACGTCCTCCTCAGACTCTAGAAGCACTTCGAGAGGAGTTGGTGGTTGCCTGGAATGAGATACCACAGGAGGACATTGACCACCTGATCAGAAGCATGCCTAGGCGCGTTGGAGAATGCGTAGCACATCAGGGTGCATCCACACATTATTAAAGGTCAAAGGGCTTTAACGCAGTGCAATCATTTTGAAATTTTTATCATTTACTTATTATGCTTCATTAAGTACTTATACAAAATTTTATTAAAATAAAACCATTTAAACTGGGTGTTCGGATTTATATGTCACTTAGTATATTATCTCATGACATGAAGGATGGTCGTCGTCGTCGTCGTCGTCATCGTCATCGGTCGCAATTAGGCCAGGCGAGGCTAGGCTAGGCGAGGCTCCTCTCATGCATATGTATCCGTACAAATCTCTTACTACCAAGCTAGGCTAGGTGAGACTACTCTCATGCATAATTATATATCACGATTACACTTTTCTCACTCACTACTTTCTCCATTTCTGCGGGTCACATGGTATTCGGCCTTTTTATCATACGTGACGTCATGGCGGGTGGGTCACGTGGTCTGTCTCGTGGTCTTTGGGCCTTTCTGACCAGGTTGGCAGAAGCTACTGCGGACCCCTACTCAAGATGCTACGGACCCTTAAGGGGACTTTACATTATATGGTACAAAGGTTTACTTGCAAATACCTAGGGCCTAGCACGTGACGGAATAGTGTAGGATAGCTCAAATCTGTAGAGCAAAGCTCGTTGACATATCGGTAGAAGAGGGTCAGAGTACAGACTCCGCCCAAGAAACAATAAGCGAGGGTGAGGAGAGACAATACAACAATGGAAAAATAATATTTTTTGCAAAAATCCGATCTATAAAATACATCGTAGTAATAAATAATAAAATCACACTTGTAGAACACTTCTTGTAAAACTGTGTAAATGTATTTATATGTGCGTTTCACCACTTTATGCTTTTTGCTAGTTTCCGCAAATGCAATGCGGTTCCGAAAATTTTGTCCCAAAAGACGCTGCTGATACCAAAACCTGCAACAAGGAAAAATTTTATCATTTTCTCTAACATTTGGCTGTTACAGATCGAGAACATGCAATTTAGAATATAACTATGTTATCATCTTTTCTGTTGGCGTACCGTGTCTGCTTACTAGGATTAATATGAGTATTCTCAGAAGTTCTAAAATAATACGAGTCGCCAATCTCACGGAAGAATCTTAAGGCCACCTTAATACCATGCAATAGGATTGCAAAATAATATAGAACTAAAAACTAAATTGATTTGGATATAATGCTGAAGTTCGAAGTGATAGTACATATACAACATTATTTTAAAGCATTTTATTAAAATTATTATAGGAATTTATGTAATCTGACTACATCAAAAAAAGCTTACCGCTATTGTGGTGAGCAAAGTGATGTTGATTGTGATATCTTTTCAAATGGTAGAAGTAGCTGTTCTCGTCAGGTGCTCCATGATGTAAGTAGAAATGAATCATGTCATAAACGACATAACCTGTAAAACAGAAATACATTCTCGTCACGATGCTACTCTATACAGGCTGGTGTGATTGAAGTCACCTCAAAACTCATCGATCAGACCTGAGTGATATGGCAGAGAATAGTCATGGCGCTGTATTGTTGCGCTGTTAAATCAATTATATGCATATTCGGCTATAAGTTGTCCCCACTTCAAGTTTTTTCATAGGACTATAAGGCTGTTTTCAATACGAATTTCAAAATATATGTTTTCATATTTGATGCAATCTCAAATCAGTTTAAGATATCAAACTGATTCGTGCTAAATATTTTGTTTGTTGGCCCTATAATGGCAGAAATGCAATTCCTAGATTCAGTGTGAGGAATTTGAACATTAAAGCACCAAACTTTCAAGAACCATAATCAATACTATTTTTTGTGAACACTAATCTTTCCAAAATTTTGGTTACAGTTACAAAATGCGGAATTTAAGTTAATAACTTTTTCCTACCAGTGTTTCTAGTGATCATCAAGTTTGGCACCTCAGATACTTATATTTATCCGTATTTCTGCTTTTAGTATTTGTATTTGAGGGGAACTCTGTGAAACTTTCAGGTATGTGAGCAGATCTTGGTAATTGTAATCATGCTCAGCCGTTTTAGCTTCTAGTCTATATTCACCCTTTGTTATTCAAATACGCTATTAAATCCTTGTAGTATTTTTACTTCTTTCTTTCAGTGAGAGTCTGTACAAATAGGGAAAATATTATTTTCTCCCCAGCCAGCATCATTGTTAGATAGGCGGATAGTTTAAGAAAATATCTTTGTATTTAGTATAATATACGAAAATGCTCAAGTTTGATAGCCTGGCAGTCCGCCATTTTTAAAGATAGTCGGCCACTCTGCACCCCCTGAGAATAGCTGTATCACAAAATCTTCAAATCCAGTCATTTCGTTTTTTTTTCGATCGGCTTTGGGTTTGTCTGGACCTAGGATATACACATACTAATCAAATCCAAGCGAATAACCAACATTTCGTTATGTGCCGCGGTTATAATATGGTTCAAGATGACACACTGGTTGATGACGCATTGGTTTTAACCGCGGTTTTGTTGCAAGTTGTTTATTTTAGTAAAGTGCGTATATAATCTCTGATTATTTTTATTATCACTTAATAATCGGTGCTTTTTGTCTACAACGAAGTATGGAATGTTTAAATAAGAAACCTTTCATAATATTTATGGGAGAAATGTTTTTTTTTTCAGAAAAAAATTGTTGATGATTGAACCACGGTTTTGTACCTATGATAACTTTCAATTCTCTAAAGTTTTTCGCATGTCAAGGAAAACATTTATTGATTTATCAGAAATTATGAATAAAACGATGAAAAAAGATATTATCAAAACCGTTATACAGGTGGACATCATCCAGTGAGTTAAATGGCCATATTTTAATATTCTTCGGGTTATGGCTACACAGGATACTTTGTTAAACATAGGAACTAGATTGAAAGTGTTCCCAACAACAGTAGTGAGTATAACTAATAAGGTGCTCCACTTTATGCTAAGACTGAAGTCAGCCTGTATCAAGTTTCCCAAAAATGAAGCTGAAGTACAATAACAATATCCAATAACCGGCAAAATTCTAACTTGTCACATTTTCAAATAATAACCAGAAATATAAAACTACTCCTGACTTGGGTAAATACCACAATTTTGCGGTGATAACTGTGACATATAACAGCTGATTCATGACGTCACGGATCTTATAACCAAACTGATAACCACACTCGCTTGAACGGATCGGTAAATACAAACCCAAAATGGTAAATACCATTTCCATTTGGTTATCCGCTTGAATTTGATTAATGTTTTTACATACACTTCAAGGCTGGACGATAACTGTTAGGCAACAGGGAACAAAAACTCTACTACTATTCTAGTATTATAAAAGACGTGTGTGTGAATGGGAATTACTGAGTAAATCTACTTGACATTTTTTGGCGGCTGTTATTTTTTCTAGAAGGACATTCTGTGGCTTCGCCTCAACTCCAAAACATTACCCAAATTTATTTGCTGCCTTTATCGCTCTCCCTCGAACCATAACTGGGATGACCTACTCGAATACCTCGCCGTCCAGATCGACTTCCTGAACATCAATCACCCCGCTTCAGAGGTAGTTCTTCTCAGTGATTTCAATGCTCATAATGAGCTTTAGTTGGGCTCAAATAAGACCGATGCAGCAGGTCGTGCAGTCGAAGCGTTCGCTCTTACTCAAGGGCTGACCCAGCTGGTGACGAGCCCTACTTTTTTTCCCCGCGTCTGGTCACACGCCAGTAGTCTGCTGGATCTCTTTCTGACCACGCATCCTGTCCCTTACAGCACTCCTGTCCTGTCCCCGCTGGGTAACTCGGACCACGGTGTTGTGGAGGTTAGGTTTCGGTCAGAACCCGCTGTGGCAGCAGAAACTCGTACAGGTCGCAAAACTTGGCATTACGGACATGACGACTGGGAGGGGCTCAGAGACTTCTTCTCTAGCTTTCCTTGGAGAGATGTATGTTTCACTGACGCGGATGCGTCGACTGTCTGTTCCTCGATAACCGAAATTATCTACGTCGGAATGGAGGAATACATCCCTCACACAGTGAAAGTTCCTAAACCAGGGTCCAACGGTTGGTTTAACAAATCGTGTGACACTGCTCGCCAGCAGAAGATCAAGTCACACAGAACCTACTTACAAAACCCCACTGTAGAGAATAGACAAGCCGACGTCGAGTCCAGAAACAAATATAACGAAGCGGTTCGCAATGCCAAAAACCAGCACGATATAAAAGTTAGGCACAGGGTAATGTCGCTGCGCAATGGCAGATGGTCTTTCTGGACGCTGGCCAAGCAGATTGAAAAGAACTTCTCACACAGTAGCCTTCAACCACTTACGTGTCAGGATGGAACTATTGTATTCGACTCAAAGGCCAAGGCGGAAGTGCTAGTCAATGGTATTTGCTGCCAACTCCACCACGGAGGTCCCCACCAACGCCCAAGTGCCGTCAATTCAAAGGGTTCCCCACACTATGCGGGAGGTAACATTCAGGCATAAGACCGTAAGACGAGTGCTCTTGTCGCTCGACATCAACAAAGCTTCTGGTCCGGACTTGATTCCTGCCATTGTACTGAAGAGATGTGCAGCGGAGCTTGCTCCAATTCTTTCGCGTCTCGTCCAGATATCTTATGAATCCGGCACCTTCCCAGAAAACTGGAAATTTGCTCATGTCCAACCCATCCCAAAAAAAGGATCTAAGACCGACCCTTACAACTACAGGCCTATAGCTCTGCTTTCTGTTATAAGTATATATATATAGTAACACACAAGGGACCTCCTAGCTTATGTCACGCAATTGTGGAGTGAACTCATCCAGTCTCATGGTGAGGCTCATGTCGTTGCTCTTGACATCACGAAAGCGTTCGATCAGCTGTGGCACGCTACCCTCTTGAGCAAACTTCCGTCCTACGGCCTCCCAGAAAAGCTTTGCAGATGGGTGAATGAATGAATGAATCTTGAATTTTAGAGGCATCCCGGCCACCATAAGGAGCCAGTGCATAGGCCGCTTAAGCGGGCCCTTATGCACCTCTACAATACTTAAATCACAAGCCTCGCCCTTTTAGCGAAGTTGAGAATCGCCTTGAGTCCAAGCTCCTTTACGTCCTGAGGGTCCAAAGTAATGGACCCCAGTATAGTCTGCCTATAGTAGCTAAGAGCTTCACAGCGACACAAAACGTGCGCCGAGGTCTCTTCCTCTACTCCGCAGCGTTCGCATAAGGGATCCTCAGCCACCCCCATCACGTGCAGGTGCCGCCTTAACGTGTTATGGCCAGACAACAGTCCCACCAGCAACCTTAGGTTGGCTCTACCCAGAGATAGGCAGAAGCGTCCATCCTTAGCACTGGGCCCTTCAATGAGCTCTCGTGCCTGGCGGAGATGTCTAGAGATACTTCTCCATTTCTGAGAGTGTTGTCTTGCAACCCACGTCTCCATTTTCCTCCTAGCTTTATGCGCGGTTACTCCTAGAGCTGGCTCAGGACCAACGAGCTTGCTGGCTGATCCTGTTTTCGCCAGAGTGTCCGCCGTCTCATTGCCCCTTATCCCAGCGTGCCCCGGTACCCATATTAACGATACCGGATGCCTCGCTGCGAGGCAATCCAGAGCCTCCCTGCATTGCAATACAAGACTCGAAGTAATCTTACATGCACTTAGTGCTTTCATTGCAGCCTGGCTGTCGGATAAGATTGTTATTCTTCTCCTAGGCCCACCCTCCTCCAGAATGTGAGATACACAAGCCAGAATCGCAAAGATTTCCGCCTGGAAAATGGTGGTGTACTCACCGAGAGGCAGAGATAGCCTAGTTCTAGGTCCAGAGACCCCAGCACCTGAGCCCTCTTCGGTGACCGAGCCGTCCGTGTACCAGACCTGCCCGCTCACTTCGGAGAGTCCTCGGCTACCGGCGTCCCACTCCTCCCTCGTTGGGTACTCCACAATGAACTTGCGGTTGAAGCGATATTTAGGGGTAATACGATCACCCCTGCTTAGAAGGACGGGGTCCTCCCTATCTAATTCGACTAATATGGCAGTATGCCCCTTGACCGGATTCAAGAAAGCCCAGCTGCCCTGACTCCACAGTCGATGAGCGACTACTCTCGCTTCACCGCGGATCACCAGATCCAACGGTGGGAGATCCAACAGAGCTTCCATTGCACTCAATGGCGTTGTTCGCACTGCGCTTGTAATGCTAATACAGGCCAAACGCTGAATTTTATTGAGTTTGGCCTTAGTTGACTCAGTTCTAATGCAAGGCCACCAGACCAGGGAGCCGTACAAGAGAGATGGACGTACTATCGTCGTGTAGAGCCAGTATACCACTTTGGGTTTAAGCCCCCACCTTACACCGACAACACGTCTACAAGCCCACATCGAATTGCGAGCCTTGCTAACCTTGTGTTCCACATGCTCTCTCCAGTTCAGTTTGCAGTCCAGGATAATTCCCAGATATTTCACTGACTGGGACAAAACTAATCTAGTCCCAAAGAAGGTAGGCATGACCAGTCCGTCAAGCCTTCTTCTCCTAGTGAATAGGATCAGCTCGGTCTTTTCAGCATTAACAGAAAGATCGACTTCCCTACACCACGATTCCACGGAGCGCAGAGCGCCCTGCATAATTTCCGAGACTGTTCTACAGAAACGCCCCCTAACCACTATGCTTACGTCATCAGCATAGGCTTGCACGTAGACACCCATACTGTTGAGCCTAACGAGCAGTTCGTTCACCACGATACACCACAGTAGGGGTGACAGAACTCCACCCTGAGGGCAGCCTCTAGCTACGTTCACGCTGCAGCTTACGTTATTCAGCATAGCTGTTGTTACCCGACCCTCCAGAGTAGAGAGGACCCAATCTATTAGGATTGATCCAACCCCGTGTCTAACCAAGGCCTGTCTGATAGAGTCGGTTGTGGTGCAATTAAATGCACCTTCAATATCTAAGAAGGCCACGAGTGCCACTTCTCGCTGATCTAGAGTCTTCTCCAGCCTCCCAACCAGATTGTGTAAGGCCAGATCAGTCGATTTTCCAGCTTGGTATGCAAACTGATTTGCATGAATGACACACCTTTCCAGTGGGCCATCCCTTAGGTATCTATCAACTATCCTTTCCAGGGTCTTAAGCACAAAAGATGAAAGAGTAATCGGTCGAAAATCCTTCGGGCCAGTATATCTATCTCTGCCCGGTTTAGGAATGAATACCACTTTAGCCTGCCGCCAACTTCTAGGTGTGAAGCCCGTGGCCACACATGCTCGAAACACATTCAACAGGTAAGGAACAACCGAAATCCGTCCCTGCTGTAACATGGCCGGAAATACGCCGTCCAGACCTGGACTTTTGTATGGGGCAAACGAATCTACTGCCCATACCGTCCTTTCGAAGGTGACAATCTCCCTTGCCGTGCGCCAGTCCTCCCTTGAGGGCCTGCGCAACTGCATGCACTCTGTGATTGATCGCGCTACTGTGGAACCGGGAAAGTGCGTATCCATCAGAAGCCTCAGAGTATCTTCCTCGGAAGTAGTGTTCCCTCCCGAGGGATCATGCAGAGATCCCAATCTTGCTTTAGTGTCTTTGCATAGGACTCTGTGTATTCTTGCAGTAGCAGGAATGTCATTTATGGACTGACAGAAGTGCCTCCAGGATTCTCTGGAGGCCCTTCTAATCTCCTTTTTGTACTCCTGCAATGCCTTTTTGTATTCTTCCCATAGAGGAGAACCTCTCCTGTGCTTAACTCTGCTAAGAAGTTTGTGCACCGCTCGTTTTCTATCCTCTAAATCTTTGGTCCAGAAGGTTGCCTTGCCCTTACCTTGTACTTTGCGTAACGGGCAGTTTTCCTCATATGCGGCCGTCAAGTCCCTGCTCAGAGACTCGACAGCTGCTTCTATGTCAGAGCCCCTGCCAAGCCTGTATGGGACCGCTCCAAGCTTACTGTCAATGTCTGCCCTAAAGGACCCCCATCTAGTATGCCTGGGATTCCGAGCATATTTATCCGGAATCTCTCCATCAGTCTTGAACAGTATATACCTGTGATCCGATAGAGAGGGTGTTAGAGACACTTTCCAGTCCCTGATGTCCTGAGCTAAGTTAAGCGTGCTCAGTGTTACGTCGATAACCTCTTCTCTTACACTATTGCTGAAAGTGGGCATGTTACCGACATTCAGAACCTCAAGGTTCGATGCCCCAAGAAACTCCATCAGGTCTTCGCCTCGTCTGTTGGTGTTCGAGCTGCCCCACGCAACGTGATGGGCATTACTGTCGCATCCAATCACAAGGTCGAGTCCAGAATCCCTACAGAATGCGACAAGGTCCCCCATTTCCTTAGACGGAGGAGGGTCTCTTGAATCGTAAGGAAGGTAAGCCGAACAGACAACCAAGTCCCTGTCACTGCCTTCCTTCTTATATCTAATTCTGACTGCAACTAAGTCTCTAAATGTAAATTCTTTAAGTTGCCATGAGTTGACGGAAGTCATTACGCAAGCTCTGGGCTTAGTGTCCGGAGTATCGCTAAAAAGCGTATAACCCGGTATACTAAGCCCGTTTACTGAACCGTTTCTCAGCCAGGGTTCCTGGATGAGAGCCACGTCATGTCGGCCTCGAGTGATCTCCTGAGTAAGGGCCCTCGAAGCCGCTATGCAGTGTTGTAAGTTAATTTGGATGAAATTAAAACTTACCATGGATGTTGAGAGGCCCTTCCTACACCTTCTCGAATGACGGTATGTAACCCCTATTCGGGCGTACCGCCGTCGCCGCCGCAGTCATCGCTGCCACAGCCGCCTTCATCTCCGCTTCCACGGAGGAGTTCTCGGACTCGGTTCAGGATTCCATCCTCGTCCGAGTCGCTATCGTTTTCCTCTGGGACCAGATCCATCGCAGGGTCCGCCACGATGTTTTCTGCGGATATCCCGCTTGGACCCGCCGCCTCCACGTCCGTAGCCTCCGGTGGCTCCAGCGAGAGCTGACCCGGCCGACCCATCCCCTGTGAAGGAGCCTGGTCTACCGCCACAGCTCCCGTCGGTCTGGGCTGGTCCGACTCCTGGTTTGGAGCCAGGCCAGTTCCAGCAGGTGTCGCTCCACTGCTCTTCTTCTTGCTCAGGAGTGTAAACACCCCCGAACTTCCACCGCAACACAGCCTGTTGCCGTTACCTACAATGACCTTCCAGCTTATGGAATCAACTGAGAGGACAAGTCGGACACCTATCGGCTCTTCCTTCCTCTCAAGTATCCTCCACGCGCTGGGAAAAGTCCCAGGATTGTGTCTCCTGAGTCTCCTCGTGATGACCCCGTTGTCCAGGTTGGGACCCGGAAACCAGGCCATCACGCGGTGGTATATGGGAAGGTCTCCAAAGCTCATCGGTCTTGGCTCCAACACTGTTTCTCTTACATATCAACGACCTCCTTTCCTGCACGATCAACCCAATCCACAGCTTCGCTGATGACAGCACTCTGCATGCAGGAATTCAGAGTGACAAGTGGATCTCTGCCGCTGAGCTGGAAAAAAGAAGACTAGCGACGACTTCTTCTCTGACAAGAGACCTGGAGGCTATCACTGCTTGGGGACGCAACAATCTTATACAGTTCAATGATGCTTCCAAAACACAGTGCTGTACTTTGACGAACAAAAAGCGTCCTAGCGCTCATACAGTTTCGATGAACGGCCGAGTTCTACCAAAGAGCCATTCATTTCGGCTGGTCGGAGTCCAGATCACCGAGGACCTGATCTGGTACGAACACATCTCGTCAATAGCTGCAGCTGCTGGGAAAAAGCTAGGCTATTTGTTTAGGGCTAAGAAGTACTTTTCTCCGCATGACCTTCTCACTCTATACAAGGCCCAGATAAGGCCTAGCCTCGAGTACTGCTCACACATTTGGGGTGCTGCCGCCCCGACTACATTGTCCATGCTCGATGCTGTCCAGAGGAGGGCGGTCCGACTGATGGAAGACTCTTCTCTAACAGACAGTCTCGGGACTCTTTGGCACCGGCGGGCCGTCGGCGATCTAGCTCTTATCTATCGCTACACCAACGGGCTTTGCTCCCAAGAGCTCTCTTCCATGATGCCGCCGCGCGATGTGCCTGCCAGACAGACCCGCCTGACTTCGGACTCCCATCCTAACCGTGTCAAACTTCGTACATCCAGAACTGGCCGATACGACCGCTCCTTTGTCCCGAGGGTGTATAGATTGTGGAACAATCTATAAGAGGAAGCTTTTCCCAGTTGTACTAACCTTAGGCAGTTCAAAAATCGTACTAACAAAATTTCTTTGGTATCATCATAGCAGCCGCGTTGTTCCGGCGCGGCTGTTTTGATATTAAAAAAAATAACATCAATCTTTTTTTCTTCCATTTTTTCACTCAAAACTGTAGATGTCAAAAAGGATAAAATGTAGAGGTTAGAATATCGTGGATCAACCGAGCCCGAACGTCGGTGGATGCTGTTGGCACCGGTGGCATATCCACCATCAATATAAAGTCAAGTTTGATGTACAACCGGTCGTTCCAGCAGAAATTAAAGGACGCAAACTTGGCTAACCGGTTGCACCGGTAGCTCAACCGGTGAATTAAAGAATATACCTATTGATACACTCAGTTAAGTATGGATGATGGGTACTTGTGACAAATTATCTATGCAAATTGATGATGACTTACCTAATAATCCACCTGCAATTACCAGCAGATGTGTAGAGTCACAGAAAAACAATGACGTCAGCTTGTAGATGGTGAAAGTGATTATGGCAGCTGGAAATGGCGGAAATACTAATCTTCTTGAATCGAACGGTACCTGCGAAAATCACATTTTTGGATTTGATATATCATACCAGTTTGGTAATTCGTCATATTGCTTCCAGGTAATGACAGAGGACCCACAATGCAATACTCGTAATAACTCAATAGCGTTCGAGATTGTTCAATTCCTGTGTTACATACCTTTTGGAAACATGACTTTAACGGACAAGTTTTTCCAGCAATTTACTATGAAATACAATCAATGTACTAGCAATTTTCAGAGGTAGACATAATTTTGTTATACGTAGAACTGAAAAGAAAGATTATTTTACTCATTGGAAATGCTGCTGTTTTATTGTTTGTTGCATGTTTAACACCATTCATAATTATTATAAATTATGAAAATCAATTGAAATAACGCATCTCTCATACAGTTTTTTATTTTTTGACTCAAATGTCTAATTTCGGGTGATTGTTAAAAAATTGCAACTATTGTTTTTTGCCCATACATACACCTATGTGAGAGTGACTGCAATTTTTTTTTAATTTATCATTATTTATTGGAAGCAATGCGGAGAATCACCCAGTACTGGATATGATTTATTTAACAAACAAATAATTTTCTATACGTGTTTGTGGCGCCTTATCAGTAATGTTGCTAGGTAATATCAAGTCACTAAATCCAAAAAAAGTAAACCCTTATCAATTTAGTATAATCTGTACTCAAATAGTGCTTGATCTCACTGATAATAATAAACTACTATTATTACCATCAAAAATTCAGTACTTACTTTATGATGAAGTCCATGTATGGCAAAATGAAAGTATATCATTGATTTCGACTTCCCTGACGGTTCCATATGGAAAACCCATCTGTGTAGGGAATATTCTATCAACGTCCAAAGAACGATTCCTTCTGATATACTTAGTACTACTGGTATAAAAGGCGAAGCGTCTGAAAAAAGATAATACATATATTAAGATCACACGTCTCCTTTTTTCGCTTTGTTTCAACTACCTGTTTGAAGCAGTATTCTAAATACTTTTCATATGATTATTACATGGCGTTTATAGAGATGAATAAAAATCAATGTTTTTAATTGTTTTAACAACAGATTCATTTTTTGTCCTTTTTATTGTGCATTTTGTCTTCAATCGTGACTTGTTAAATCGGTTCAGCTCTGAAGTTGTATGTGAATATTCCACTTACGGAAGAATAAATTTTATATATATAAATTTTATTCTTATCGCTTTTTCTCTTTGATTGATCATTGATTTTCTTCAAACCTCAATTTGCAGCAAATTGAGTCTTCAAGAAAAGCAGAGAGAAAAGTGATAAGAATAAAAGTAATGACCCGTTTCATTCTTCCATAAAAGAGGAATATTTACATACTACTTCAAAGCTGTACTAATATTTGTTAAGAAGCTGCAATGAAAGAAAAAATGCACAATAAAATGCACTTAAAATGCACTGTTTGACAAAAAAATAAAAGCATTGATTTTCAGTCATCTCTATACACACAATGTAATAATCAGATTGAAACGATTTAGAATACTGCTGCAAAGAGGAAGGGAAAAATGGACGTGCGACCTTAATATGTTGTACGTAAATTATTATTAGCGAGAAAAAAGTGTCTTCCACTATACGCGAGGCCTTGATGTAGTCACATTCAAAGGACTCCGCAGAAACTTGATGCAAAATGGCTTCCAGCTAACTTATTCAAAAAATTAGTATGTTGTAAATCTTGAGATGTAGAACAAAATAATCGATGAGACCAAACTTTTTCCACTAGTAGTTTCAGAGATACAGGGCCTCCAAGTAGTACCCTATAACTACGTACTGTGGATTCGGTACACGATATGTAATAGTAGTATGATATTTGTTCTCGAACCTACAATACGCCGTCTGTCTGGACTATCCAACTTGGAGGCACTGTAACTAATGGAAAAACTTTGAGTCCATGCACGATTTTGTTCTGCCTGCTGACATCTACAACTTACGAAATGCTTAAAAATATTGTGGAGCTATTCCTCATACGGTTTCTGCTCGTGTAACTCAAACTTCTTAGTAAATCTCGACAGAATGATAGCTGTATGCGAAGCTGTCAGACAATTATGCATTACCAAAGTATAGATAGCAATATTAAATGGCGGCGAAAATGGAGAACCAACGATTTCTGTCATTGGTGTGGTCTAAGAAAAAATGACTTAAAACTATGTATACGCTCATTTGAAGTGTATGTCGCCTAAGCTATCAAGGTTTGGACAACAATCTTAAAATGTAATATATTATTGAAAATTAAAAACAATTTTGAGCTGAAATAACATGTTATTCCCCTCGAACAACAAACATCAAGATAGATCAAAACAGAACTGTGTGCCTTGGAATTATCGATTTGGAAGTAAATCAGTAACACACACGCACTATCTGCTATGTGATTACATACAAAAAATCCTATCGAAATCGATAAGCCTTTGCATAATGAATAAGGAATACCACGGTGGATTAGTAGCTGATTAGATTATTGTGGCGAAATGAATATTTGCATTCAATATGCAATAAAACATGCTAGTTTATTGCAAATTTCCTAAATACTTTTCGAATTATAGAGCACGAATTTACTATGGCTCAACACGTCTGATATAACTGACTATTTTCGTAAAGTCTGCAATGATATTGATAATGATATATACAGGATGCCCCAAAAGTCACGGAGCAAACGAAAGGGTAATTTGCAATCAGAAAAATCATATAGGTCCATATCCGATTGTGCACGGTTTTTGAGTTATCGCCATTCTTTCGAATTTGCGGAAAATCGCTACTTTTAAGACTGTACTATTTTTCCAGAACTTGTCTTTTGACGTTTCTCAATTAGATTGACAAGATATCTTCCCGCACGGGTATCACGTAACTTGAAAAGTGACATTATGCCGATTTTTTTTGACATTATCGTGGTATTTTTTGACATTATGTAGGTTTTTCTACAAGATATTAAGTTAGCACTTAGTTGTACGTGTTGCCTAAACGTCATGAGGCTTGTTATCAATCTTTGGATCTGATGTGATGTAAAATCTGCTTCTGAGATGGCATTACTGGAGGTCTAAGCTGTAAGTTGTATGTGCTAATTAATGATAATTACATTGGGTTCTTGTCTCAAATACACTTAATTGAGATTCAAAGCTAGTTGCGCATTCACTTGTTCTCATCCATTCTGGACATTACGTATACAAACTTGCTAAATTTCAAAAATGAGAGAAATAAGAAATAATTATATTCACTGTACACTGTCGAATTACAAGCCATATACATGCTAACAGTAATTACACACAAAGCGGGCGCTGTGATGATTTTCCGCAATTCTTCTCAGCTTTTCGTAATTTATAACTCTGAACATAACCTCTCTTCAGAAAGCACAACACAAAAATAACCCGTAGGGCACGGCCAATAGATATACTTCATTGGCAGCATATTCAGTAATGATCTTCTCACACAGCAAATATCACAGATTTTATACACATTCAGACCAATACACATAAATCATCCAGGTGCGCTCTTGCTATTCAATCAACTTTCTTCTCAGAGATAAAACCTACAGAAAAGAACCGTTTGGTCTCACAAAACATATGCAACCAATAATGCGTTTAGTTTAGTTGAGTGATTCTTCCTTAGATGGACGTTCACAATGATCCTTCTGAGCAAACGTAGAATGACTGTTTGCGCCCTAAAAACTACCTAGTTTGCAAGATAACATCTCATAAGTTTTTTTTGACGTTTTATAGGTTTTGATACCCATGCCGAATGATCAGTCGATTTATCGAGGTCTGTACAAAAAATTAGTAGGCGGATAAAGTGTCCATAGTTATGAAAAACTTCTTGATACTATGATTTTTCAAAATACCTATTAGTTAATCAAAAATCCTAATTTGTTTCCGCGCAAAGTAGACAAAATGCTACAGGTACCCTAAAGAAATTCCATTTTTTTAAACGTAACTCTTTAACTGCCATTCTGGATCTTCTTCCTTTCAAATAGGATAATCAAACACTTATGCGACAATAAATATTCAAACCTGAACAAATTCTAGGTCTAATCATTCCAAGGGATGACGACATTATTTTGGGTCTTGAAAGTGTTACTGAAACAGTGCAGCATTACCTAATAATGTAAACCCAAGTACCCGCCTTATGTAATTCAAATAGAAGACAATAAAACTTGAATATGATTATTAGATTCCAGGCATGTAATGTTGGCGTTTTATTCCCTCTATATCATAAGGGTCATTCTTTTTTTTTATAGAATATGTTGCAGCTCTGGTAAGAGCCCTTCATTGTGTTCACATTAGGCAATATTTACAGGAGATGTTCGAAGTGTCTTCATTCTGCGCTGCATCATGTGTGGATTACTGCGGAGGCTGTTGCTCGCAGTAGCAATCCGTTCTCTTGAAACTTGTACGGCTGGAGTTTCAGTATAAAACACTACTTCCTTCATACAATCCGATACAAAGAAATCAATGGTGTTGAGATCTGGTGAACGGGGCGGTCAGGTTATCGTTCCTCCACGCCCTATCCACCGACTTGAATATGTGTGATTTGAAAAACTCTTCTGGCTTGCATTGTATGGAGGGGCACATCGTTGTTGTCGATGAATTGTTTTGTAGAAAATTGTAATAAGTCTCTCCACACTGGCACTTTAATAAGGCGATTCGGCCATTCACTATACCAGCCCATAAGCTAACTCCGAATCTGGGCTCTCTCGAGAGCCCAGTGATGTAAGTTAGGGATGTTATAAATTCCTGTTCTTTGAAGATAAGCTTCGTCCGTCCATAATTTTTTTTTGAAGAACTGCGAGTCATCTCTGTATTTTTGGGATATCCTTCTGCAAAACAGGACTCTCTTTGGGAAGTCTTCTGGAAGAAGCGCCTGTAAACGTTGAATGTGAAACTACACCAGCATTCCGTGAGGCATGATGCACGCTGCTAGAAGGTTCATTTTCAGTTAACTGTAATACCACATCTTCAGCAGCTACACTGATCCTCCACCTTCCAGTTCTTACTGGCCTCCCAGGCATTTCTCCTGCTACACGACATGTACGATGGTCTGGAAAATTTGCTCTATGGGGATATCGGTTTCGATACTCTTCGGCAGCACGTCGAGCATTTCTATTGCACAATTGTCAACCTGTTTTCATTAACCTATTGGTCAGGTAATATCGCGGGATTTCCATAACCCTTCTATTACACACAATCATGTCAGAGTCGCCCTCCAGTACATAAACAAGACCTGGTATTCCTTTGAGTTTGAAGATTTGTTGTCCCTAAGCTGTATTCCTATCATATTCAGAAGGTAGAAGATCAACAGTTAAAAGGTTAAGTTAAGAAGAATGAGAATTTTCCGAATTATGGTACCTGCAGCATTTTGTCTACTTTGCGCAGAAACTATTTGTGATATTTGATGATCTAGGTATTTGGAAGGTCATAGTATGGAGAAGTTTTCCATCACTATGGACAAATTTAGCCTATTGCTGTACCTACATTAACTGGATAAAAATTTCGCTCATACCTTTTTTCCAGTAACACATTATTTGTGAACATATCTTGTATAGTAAAATACCAAAATTGATGGCAGTAGCGAAACTCATCGTACGCCACTGCTATTACGCCGAGGCCTTCGTAAATGCGGCGTTTCTTTGTGAAATGTCGGCAAACATCGCTGTAATCAAAAGGTACAGCGTCCAAGCAGCGGTGCACGATGACTTCTGCTACTGTCATCAATTCTGGTATTTGACTGTAGATCTGACTGAAAAATAACAAACAAAAACTTCAGAAAAAAGTTGTACACAAATTCTTAAAAATGGCGATAACTCAAAACCTGTGCACAATCGGATAAGGTCATATATGGTTTTTCTGATTGCAAATGATCCTCCTATCACCCCTTCTTGTTTGCTTCATACCTTTTGG